CCGGAAAATTCGTCTAACTCCCTAAGCCCGATAAATCGATAAATCCCTGAACTCCATTTCCCTGCCTTAAGCTGGACTGCTGTTATGGAGTTCATTTTGTTTTTGCATTTTTACGGGACGCCCTATTATTTGCTATGCGCCCAGATTGTGTTAACTTAATTTAAGTTCTTTAACATCAACCCAGCCCTAAACTCTAAACCCCAAATCTAAACCCTAAACCCTAAACCCCTAAACCCTAAACCCTAAACCCCAAAAACCCGTAAGGCTTGGACTTGGGACTCCTCTCCAGCACTTACGTGACCAGGGAGGACTGGCCATGGTGATCCTTGGCAGATCCACACGGTTTAGGGTTTAGGGTTTCGGGTTTAGGGTTTAGGGTTGCTATCCCTGAACCCTAAACCCTAAACCTTAATCCCTAAACCCTAACCCCTAGTTCCTAAACCCAATAGTAACAGGTAGTTCCCAGAATTAGGGTCTAGGGTTTAGGAAGTGGTCCAATCCATATATCGGGGTTATATAGGGATATCTAGAGTTTAGGGTTTCCCATATCCCTTTTGGGAGTCCCTATAACAAGGATTATAGTATGTTGGGGGTCTATAAGGGGGTCCCCCAATGTAGGCAGATTACCATGTGATTTCAAGATTTCTCGTGGTGTCGTAAATCCTAAACCCTTAAACCCTAGCCCTCAAACCCTAGCGGCGGGTCTTGCAGGGGGGGAGGTCTATCAAGTCTGTAGCCTCACGGGTCCAAACTTCAGGGCGTGTCTTAGAGTAGCAAGTGGGGGGTTTCCCCAAAACTAGGGGTACCGTTAAACGGGGTTGTAGGGTTATATAGGGATATATAGGATTAAGGGGTCAGGGTTTAGGGTTTCCCAAAATTAGAGGCACCACTTCGAGAATCCCCATAATATGGACCATGTCATATTGGGGTCTATATCGGGGTCCCCCTATTTATGGAAACTACCAGGTCTCTTTGGTGTTATCCCTCCCATCAGCCACCCAGGCCCAAACGACCCTGAACCCTCTACAGTCCTGTACCTTAATTCCTTAACCTTTAAGCCCTAAACCCTAAACACTTAAACCCTAAACCTAAAACCCTAGGCCCAAACGCTAAGCTCCGTCCCAGGGGAACAAGTCTTTCGTGCGGGCGACACAGCCTTCACGATCTTATTCACCATAGACGTTGTTGCATCTCGGGCCGGCTTATGGTCAGTGCTCATTGCCCTAGCCACGCGGGTTAGGGTTTAGGGTTTAGGGTTTAGGGTTCCCTAGCCACGCGGGTTAGGGTTTAGGGTTTAGGGGGGACCTATAAGGGACTAATTAGGGTGTTGGGGGGGGACCTGTTAAGGGATGTCCTACAAATCTCGTCCAGGGCTCATATAGTCCCTCTAATCCCTATAGTCTCCATTTTCTTTTCCATTATCCCAATATATAACTCAATAAATACCCCAATATACTACAGTAGTTTCCATTTTCTTGTCCATTATCCCCATATAACGGCTGTTTTGGACTGGTTGGTTTTGCTGCTAAGATGTGTTGCCCATTTGACACTTTTTTTTTAACTATCCGCACTGGCTTGGTCACTGTTGTTCTGGTTCTGCCATGCCTATCGGCTTATGGTTGCATACCTACTATTCTATAGTAGTTTCCATTTCCTTTTCCATTATCCCAATATAACCTCAATATATACCCTAATATACTTTAGCTTTTAGTGATCAAGCCTGCCCGCATTCCTGACACTGCTGATGTTATTGCTGTTGTTATCAGTGTGGTTTGCAGGGTTCTCTCCATTCGTAGGGTAGGTTTGCAGAGATTGACGGTGGCGATGCTGAGAATGCTGATGGTATACCTTGAAGAAGGCTGAATGAACCTAACCACATTTAGGGAAAAACGGATCCTTTCTGACGTGATGGTTAAGATTTGTTGTATTTCCCGCTAAGCTCTTCGTGGACTAGTCCCGGCCCTACCCCCCACGTCACAGCTTCAAGACCCTTTCCATAGTGCTCAACTTGCCAAGAGGGCATCCCGAAAGTGGGGGTTTGGGTTGAGGGTTTATGGTTGAGAGTGTAGTTCAGGATTTCGGGTTTCCGTTTAGAGGTTAGGGCCCCAATTTGGAGACCCAAAGGCCACATGTACCTATGGCCTCCTCTTTCAAGGGGACTTTGTGTTTCGTAGGCTCCTTGTGTGTGAGTATCATTTCAAGGGTTCTGCAGCCCCCAGGTTTAAATTTTGACTATATTGTTCCCCTTGGCGTTGTACTACAAGAAAAGAAAGTGTAGCGTTTTGGAGGAGAACAGCAAGACTGGGCCTGGAATCTTCGGATCTCCCGAAAACCCTAAACCCTAAACAAAGCTCGGACCTGTGAGGGTATAGTCCCTCTTAAGTAGATGGAATATGGCTCTGGGTATATTAAATAAGATCTCCATATACCAAATATTCTATCTACTTTAAGGGGGACTATATCCTCATCATGAGAAACTTTGCATTTTGGCATATGCTCAGCTCACAGAACTGCAAGCGCAGAAAGACGATACCACCCTTAAATCCTCCAGCCTAATCCTAAACCCCTGCTCCCGAAACTCAAGCCCTCAACGGCCCTACTCCACGCCTGCAGCCACTCCCAGGTAAGGGTATCTGTCCTAAAGCTGAAGTTTTGGAAGGCACCGAATTCTGCAATGCAATGCTGCAACAGTTTAGGTTTGTGGTGGCATTTGCAATGCTGCAACAGTTTCGTTCTGTGGAGGCATTTGGGTTTGGGGATCCAGGACTTGGATATTTTTGGCGCTTGGAGTCTACAATTCTTGGCTGACTTGCTCTCGCTTTCTTTCTCTCCTGCTCTCACTCCGTTCTACTTCACCTTCTCCCTTTCCATCCCTCTGCCTCTTCCGCTCTCTCCTTCCCTCGCCCTCTTGCCCATTCGTGCTGCACAGGTGTGCATGAATTATGTGGACGTGGCTGTAACGGTCGCGTCCGTTTTCGAAGTGACTTCACGCGTCCTTCTCCTCCCGGCCGGCACAGGGTTTTGGGATTTAGGGTTTAGGTCTAGGGGATTTAGGGTTTTGGGTGTAGGGCATTTGGGGATTGAGGGTGTAGGGGATTTAGGATTGAGTTTGAGGGTTTGAGGGTGTTTTGATCGAGCAATGTCGGCATCATCGTGACCCCACCAGAACAGAAGATCATACATATCTAGTAGTTTCCCAAAATAAGGGGACCCCAATATAGACCCCAGAATATTATAGACCTTATTATAGGGCCCCCTAAAAGGTTACCCCTCATGTTGGGAACCACCCCGTATCTCAAGTGTGAGGTCGAGAGCCAGCCACAGTTTGCAGATTATGCAGCTGAACTCAAAAGGGTTTAGGGCGCAGGTTTTAGGGCAGTGCAGCAATCCGACATTTTGGAAGTAATGGGATCTTCTTGAGGAGGTAGATACTGGGATTTCCTCGCGATGGATGTTCAAAAGCCTTGCAGTACCTTATACCGTGGGAATTAGAATATTCCAGTATGCTAAGGTCATGGACAGCAGATCATCCGTCTTGGATCCTGACATGTATCTGTTACCCTAAACCCTAAACCCCACTCCTGAGGCTGATGAGGTTCTTGGTCAAGGATTAAAAGCGCATAGCAACGAGGATGCTCAGAGATTTTATTGTTGCATTTCACAAAACTACCCGTAGAAAATGTTGACTGGGAAGGCCCATGATCCTTTGTAATCCCCAACGTGGCCTCGTAAGGACCCATCTAGTTTAGGCGCACCCATTCTGCGTGCAAGGAATCTGGGTCATGCTAAATTTCTTGCCGGGACTGCAAAATGAAAGTTGTAGTCTTGAAGCCGCATAAGCCACAGAAGGCTCCTCGAGAAAGAGGCCTTAAAGTCCAACCCAAAATCCTTTGAAGCTGTCAAGCTAACAACGTGAACTTCAGAGCTGAAACCCCGCCCTTCAAACCTTCTTGCTGCAAAGCCAAAAACGGAAACCCTCGAGCCTAAACCCTGAACCTTCAAGCCCTCAACAGCCTAAACGCTGAAACCTAAACCAACACCGTAAGTCTTCAAACCGGCGGAATGTCTTCGTAACCCTTCACAGATCAATCCGGTGCTCTTCCGACTGCTGCGTATTTTCAAGTTGGCACGAGCTCTTCGGATGGTTGCTTGGATAGAATCGTACTTGGCAGGTGGAGTCCAAATTTCCTCATCCAGGTCGTTTCTTCTCATGGTTTAATTGATTAGGGGGTGGGTAGGTCTTCAAGGTTAGGATCTGGAGATGAGTTGTTCGTCATTGACATGTTGGTCAGTGCGTCTGTGGGTTTTAGTTTGGTGAGACCGACATATCATATGTTTGCTCTAACCTGAAAGTCCAGCAAGGGGCTGCTAGGGTTCCATGACTTGAAGATGTGAACCTTAAACGCTGTTGCAGTTTTTGCAACAACAATGAAACTTGCAGAGGGGGCTTAAGGATTACGCATAGTCGTACGGATCTGGATCTTGTGTCCCTGCGAGACCTTGCGTGCGCTGACCAACTTTCAGTTGCTTTAGGATAGCAAGTGCTCGCGACATCTCGTAATGTGTAGACCTACCTGTCTAGGAAGACCTTTTTGCAGAAAGACTCAAAGTCGCAGGGTGCTTAATCAGATTTTAAATGTTCTACCACTTGCACTGTGACGTTTTTGTTTTGGCACACTTCCTGTAAGTGAGAAAAGTTGAGATGCCAGTTCTAGAGCCAGAGAGAAGCTTCAGATGGCAAAGCCTCAAAGGTAGCTTGCTGGAGGGAAGTCATAGTCCACCACGAACACAAACTGTTGGCTAATGTCCGCATCCGGGTGCTTGGCGTTTCTGCGGGATCTCCACTTTGTTCCTTCCATGGTATGCCAGTGAGCTAGTTCTGGCCTGCGTATGGTTCTATGGTGCATGTATTGTCCCCAATTAAAAGAAGACACCGCAAAAAAGCACAATGAAAATGCAGAAGCCTTTAAAAGTGTGAACTGCGCTGCTGGCAGGTAACAATGACCAGCGTATTGTCATCTCTCCAGTTGCTGATCAAATGCCTTATGGCCAGCATTGACATGCTATTCTGGACCTTCTGCCTGCTCACCTTTTTGCAGTGTGTGGCCGGCATGATCGTCAGCACGCTGTGCCGCGACTACATTGAAAATCCGGAATACCCTTCAGTGACACGTGATGAAGTCTACCGCTACTACGGCAGCTTCACACGCACCTTCTTGACGATGTTTGTGCCTTGGCTGGCTAGCACAGCAAGCGTTCCGCCTGCTGCGACCAGGCTTTTTCTTGAAATTCCACCTGCCAGTTCCCCTGCACCCCCCCAAAAGATGAGTTCTTAATTGCCAGACATCCCGAAATCTTCAACCGTCGCCTTTTCCAATGTCAGAGTTCTACCATATGCCCAGACCTAACCCGTCGCCGCCAACGGCGGCTATGGCGCAGACTGCAGCCCAACAACGTGCATCTAAGGAAATCCTTTTTGCAAATTGGGCCCCGAGCTGCAGGGTCCTTGTGGACACATGGCGTTCTTGGAAGCTATTGTTTTCAAGCAGGGATGACATGAAGACCTGAGCGCAATTAAGGCTGAATCAGATTAAGATCCCAATCCAGAAAGAGAAGAAAGTGCTTTGCTTGAAACCACAAGAAGAAATGCACATCTTTCGGAGAATCGAGGGCAAGCATATGGCTGTCAGTCATGTTGGCACCCTTTGCGAAGAAGCTTTGAGTAGAGTTTTAGAAGTGGGCGGGAAGCAGGTTGTGAGGCTTGCGTTTTAAATTATCCCAAGCCCTAAATAGTAGTTTCCATTTTCTTTTCCATTATCCCTATATAGCCCCTATATAAACCCTATATAAACCCCATTATTGAGAGCCTGACAAAGCCGAGGACAATGTCAGCGAGTGGTTTTCCATCTTTTTCTTACTCTACCGATGCATCATTGGATTTGCAGTGTCTCCTGGATGCGTCGGAAGAGGGCAGCGACTAAACACAGGAAGACACCCTCATGACAAAGCATGAAGTCCTTCTACCGACATCCCGGTTCCCTATAGTACACCCTACATAATCCCCAAGGGTATAGTCATTTCCGTTTTCCTGCCCATTCCTTCACCAGCACTTCAAGAGTCCAGGCAGGGCGATCCGACCTTCCATCTCCGAGGGTTGGTTAGGGTTGGGTTTTCAGTGGGGTCTTTCAGATGTTCATGTGCTTGGGGAGCCCATTAGAGATGAGTAGCTACCCTAGGCAGGGGCGACACTCTCACCCAGGACCGCTCTTGCTGCAAAGTCTGCATAGCTAGGCTTTCACTTCAAGTCTTGCATCTGGATGCATGCTTTCAAGTTACTGCCAAACACTGGGCGGTGCATGCAGCAGCAGTTTGTGCTGTGACTGAGCTGAGTAACACTAAACCTTCAACCACGAAGACCCAGGGCTGTAGCCTACAAGCCGCAAACCTTCTAGCCCGAATCCGAAAGCATAAGCGCAAAACCATGAATGTGGAAGCGAGTAAGGCCAGACCTTCACCCCTTCAGCTACGCCAAGAAGCGTTTTGGTAAACCCTAAACCCTCCCTAAACTCGCAAGCCTTGCCTTCACTGCGCCTGTCTCAGGTTGAATGTCGTAAACGCCGTCTTTGCGCCCAGGATCCCACGCAGTAGTGCTTTCTGAATCATCCTTTGTCTTTTGAGGAGAAATGGAACCACAAATGACATCCTTGGGTTCATTCTAGGGGAAGTAAGCTCCAAACAACCGCTGCGTTGTCTTGGAGGAATTAGGCTAACTGCAAACATGGACGTCCTAAACTCCAAGCCCGGACGTCAAAACTAGTTTCTTCTCGGTGATTTGGGGCACCTAGGTGCAACAGACCATGAAGACCGCCAGCTTTGACGAAGAATTGGCATTTAAGCAGAAGGCGACTTGGACAAATCTTAACAGGAATTAACAAACATGGCAATGATCCCGAAGTAGGAATGGGAATGCACGCAATGGTAATAAAGGATGGGAATGGTGGTGAAATGGCCTCTAAATATCTGAGCCAAAAGGGCGAACAATAAGAAGCAGCAACGAGCAGGAGCAGGAGCAGAAGGAGGAGGCAGCAGCAGAGCAGGAGAAGGAAGTAGAATTTGCTCTGAGAATTTCAGGCGTTGCAGGATGCCACCACGAGAGAGATGGTCTTTTGAAAGGCGATGAATCGTTTCCATCTCTCCCTCTATTCCGTGTCACACGGGTGCTTAAGGGAGAGTGGAGGGACTGGATCCCTATAATAACCCCTCTAATCCCCATATATCATCTATACCCCTACAATGGCGCCTATATTCATTCCCCCAACCCCCCTTAATCACCAGTAGGGTGTTGTAGGTTGTGTGGCCCAGCCATGGTAGCCAGCTCCATTTTGGGTGTCGTCTTTAAGTGTTTAGGGTTTAGGGTTTATGGTTTAGGGCTTCTCGAGGAGAGGTGTAGGCCTGTAAGATGGCAAGCTAGCCATAGTCTAAGCTCCTAGTATCCCCCTTAATAACCCCTATACTATAGGCCCTTATATAACCCCTGTTATAACCACCTTTCAGGAGCTTAGAATATAGCTCAAGTAGAGAGGGCAAGGCTTCACAAATCTCCACAGCAGCTCAGGAACGAGATGTCGTAACCTACACCAACAAGGTTCGAAGGCAGGACTGATGTGGCAAAAGTCCTGAATGTCCTTTTGTGTTAAGGTGCGAGGGGTCAGGTATTGGGGGGCTTTTAGATCTCCATTCCCATAGGGCTGAAAACTTGCGATGCAGGAAATGCGGACCAGGTGCTTTCCCTAAACCCTAAACCCGCATGCTGGACCCTAGGCTCTGCCCGTGACGTCCATCGCACTTCTGTGCAACTATGAGCCTTCTCCTTCACATTGCTCTTTCTCGCGCTGTCATTAACAGCATTACACCAGGATTACAAGGACACTTTCGACTGCTGAGAAAATGCCAAGTGCACCTGCTACTGCAGTTCCTTCTGTCACGCCCAACACCCTGCATGTGAGCTATAGTCTAAATTCCTAGTATCCCCTTGCTACCCAAGTGTCCAGACCCCTTTCAGATAGATATATATATATATATATCAAGGAGAGAGAGAGAGAGAGAGATATATATATATATACACACAGATATATTTCCGCGACCCCTTGCCTTGATTTTAACTGCGAATCTTCCTGCTGAACAGCCTAAGCCCAAACGCAAACTCCCAACAAACCCCACCAGGCTTTTCCAGACCATGGATGAGACAGGACAAGGGGAGTCTTTGCAGTTGCAAAAACAGTTGCAAAATCTGCAGCCTACTAGCGGACCGCACTGAGCCACCCAGCTCGTAGACCCTAATTGGAGGCCCATGGGACTTAGCAACTACTTATAACTGGGATCACAACCCTACCTGTAATTGGGGTGACCCCTACAAGCCCATTTAGGGGAATTATAGGTAGGGTTATAAGCCCAGTTATAAGTAGTTACTAAGTCCCATACGCCTCCAAGTAAACCTGAAACCGGTAGCCCAAAAACTTCAAACCACAACCCACAACTTGGAAGAATTTTGACAGGAGATGGGACCTTGAACTTCGAGGAGTTCTCCAAGCTCGTGACGTCCCCAAAGCTCAAGTTCTGGATGAGCCAACTGGAGCGCGGGCGCCCAGTTTTGGGCTTCAGAGCCCAGGGTTTTCTAAGGGTTGGACTAAGCTTGGTAGTTTGGAAGACTTCTCATACTACAAGGTAGCAGGACCTAAGCCGGAGACATGTAGCCAGCGCATTAGCCAGGAAACACGAGTCCAACGTTAGCCAAGTCACGAAGGCCTTGAAGCTGTTGCCAGCGCATATTAGACAGCGTTGATATGCAGTTGCAAAAAAGTACACACGCCCGCACGACTGGAAGGTGCTGAAGGCCTCGGAGGTTGGAAGTTTTGAAGAGCTGAGGGTTGTCAAAGCGCCAGCAGCAGCAGCAGCGGCGACGGCGGCAGCGGCAGCAATGGCTTTGGCAGCAGAGCTACCAACAACAAGAGGGAAGATGTCAGTAGCATACTGGGGATAGAGGCAGCGCAACACCAGGTCACCTGCAACAAGGGCATAGAAACTCCACAGGACCCAGCGGGACCCATCTTTGATTTCCCTGAACTACTATATAGTATGTTGGGTCTATATATGGATAATGGAAAAGATAGTGGAAACTACTATATAGTGTGTTGTGGATGGCATCAGGCTGGACTACCACGATTTGTTGAGCTTGTTTGAGTTTTTGGACAACGGAGATGGCCAGATCACGCTGAACGAGTTCATAGAGGCCGGAGGAGGGTTGTGTCTTCTGACTTACCTGGACCTTCCATCCCTAAACCCTAAACCCCTAACCCTAGACCCTAAACCCTCTTGGTTTCGGGGTTAAGGGTTGGGGTTTAGGGTTTGAAGTTGGCATGCGGCTGATCGGCCTTGCCCAAATGAGAGGTACCTCTATGGGGGTCCCTAACTAGACCAAAGTTTGTAGTGTTTTGGGGTCTATACTGGGGTCCCCCTACCATCTCCAGAACAACTGGAGTTAGAATTGGCCATAAGTTGGAAGAACGAAGCGCAGACCCCACCAAGCGCGAAGAGAACGGGTCCGTTGGTCTGGACCCATGCAACAAAACGCGTGCCGAGATTGAAGCAGTAACTCAGGTTTGTTCTAAAGTATACATGAGTTGTCAGGAGGATGGTTTCTCAGGGCGATGATTTCAACAAGGGTCTCCAGTTTTCATGAGTTCCCCTATTACCCACCTGTATACTAACCCCATAGGTACTCCCCTCGTTGACCGTAATTAGGCCCAACTATCCCTAAATAAACTGGAGTAGCAGGAGAACCCATGAGGTCTTGGAATTGGCCACCCGTATCTCTGCTTGGACCATTTTGTGTAGTTGTAAATGGGATATTCCACCGGATTTCCTCAACCCCGCTTATACCTACCATTGCGCTATCATGTCTAGCACCGTAGATTTCTGCTTGCGCAGTGTATGCGTGCCATTTTCTAGGTGCATTGACAGGTTAGCCAGATCTGTGTTCCTTGGCTCAGAGGGTTTCATGCGAGGGCAGTGCGGCTGTTCCTCCCGAGTTGTGAAAAGCTCAACGCTTTCAAAACCCAAAGTGCAGAAATCAGTTGGGACCCCCTAAATGCTACCCCTAATTTTGGGAAACCCTAACCCTTAGCCTAAACCCCATCCCCTTTAAAGATACCAGAGATCATGACCGGTTGGAGAGGATGCAGCAAGTTTCTTCTTTGGTTAATTTCGTGACCCTCAAGGGTCTAGTGAAGGGTTCAGAGTTTAGGATTTAGGGTTTAGGCTTTAGGGCTTAGGATTTAGGGTTCAGGGTTTAGGGTGTGGAGTTGATCGGCGTGTTACAGCTTTTCAGGTTTTGAAGACTGAGACGCCTCAGAAGAACTTGACTTACTGATCTTTAGTGGAGAATGGAAAGGTGGATGCACGTCGTATGTTCTGTATAATCCCCAAGAATAGTCCCTACAGACCATATTCCTTCATTGCCTACTGGCCAACAAAGTAAGTTAGGCCGTGGGATAGGTTCGAGGCCCGATGTAGGTGGGTACCGGCTTCAGTGTGCCGCAACCCAGCAATGCTGATCAGACAGTGCGCCCGAAACCCAAAGTCTAAGCGACCTCAGAATCTCTAGAATCTCGTCCTCCAAACTAACATAGAAAACACAAAAATTGGCCTATAACGACTGCTGTCCTTTCAAATGGACCTACCTGGGCTTCAGCGCTACTTGGGGGCCACAAATCATGCAACTGCAAGGAAGGCGCTACAAAGACCAATCTCGCTTTACACAGGGTTTCGGGTTTGGGGTATGAGGAGGATAACACATCCGGAATGCCTCACCCAGAACTTGCAAAGCGCCTTACTTTGCAGAATCTCCCTTGATTTCGGATACTAAACCTATTATGACTTAGGAGGATCTTCCTGACTTACACCCGCAACCCTAAAGTTAACCCTGAACCCCAACCCTAATCCCTAAATCCTAATCCCTAAATCCTAAACCCTAAACCCTAAACCCTAAACCCTAAATCCTATACCCCCAAATCCTTGGAGAACCCAAGCCATGGGGCAGGGCGCCACGCGCTTGCGTGGTCAGGCGAAGGCCGAGCTCCCACTGGAAAGCTGTAGCTATGCTTAGTGGGCTCTAGGGTTTAGGGTTTAGGGTTTAGGGTTCGGGGTTTAGGGTTTAGGGCTTCAAGGTTCGTAGTTTAAGGGCAATAGCACAAGGGATCGCGCGGTTCAGGGTTTAAGAGGTGAAGGTTTTTGTTTTCCGGATTCATATGGTGCCAGCCCAGGCTTTTTCTGGTTGTTCAGCATGGCAGCAGGAATTATGACTGGTGCGTGCTAAAGGTTTCATCTAATGAGTAGGTTGAAAACAGCACGGCTCTGGAAATGGGAGCTGGAATGGCAATCTCTCATACCTTGTAGAGCACGTCACGTCTGGAAACAGCTATAGTCCCCCTTTAGTAGATAGAATATGGATTTGGGTGTATTATATTAAGATCCCCATATACCCCATATTCTATCTACTTAAGGGGGACTACAGGCCCAAGACTAACACAAAACCTCAACCAACCCAAGCCTGAAACCCAAGACTTCAGAGGCAAAACTGTCACTTCTGCAACCAAGTGCAAGTCGCAAGGTCCCAGGGTTAGAGTGCCTTCTAAGAGCGTGGTGCCAGATTTGTTGAATCATGATATGCCCCTGCAAAAGGCGATTTCTGAAGTTGTGGGTTCCTCTTTGGGGGTCATTGAGCAAACTATTTTGGGTACATGGGTCGGGAGCTTGAAGAGCTTGCAGCAGCCGCCCTCGTGGCCTCAGGCATGCTCTGCAATTCCTTTGGGGCAAATTTGGAACTAGGGGGTAAAGTTTCCATTGCGGAAGTATTCCTACCTCTTGTCAATGAATTGCATCCTATTGCTCCGCTTACCTCCCCCAAAGGTGTTCACAAGCTTTGAGCCAGGCTCTGGACGTTTGGCGTCTGGAAACGAAGGCGGCTTGGATAAAGAATGCCAACAGATTGAGACGCCTCATGGAACGGAAAGTTCCTAGGTTTATAAACCCCCTTAAGTAGATAGAATATGGGGTATGTGGGGATCTTATTATAACATACCCAAAGCCATATTCTATCTACTTAAGGGGGACTATAAGTTCTTCAAGGAGGCGTGGAGCAATTTTTGGGGTCCCGTACATCCCATAAGCTGCGCTTGTTGGGCCTGTTCTTCTATAGTGGGTTTAGGGTCTAGGGTTTAGGGCTATGAGGACCAAGGGAGAAAAGATCATCTGCCACTTCGAGATGATGCACAAGTACGTAGACTCAAGGAGCCTTCCTCATCCACTGCCTACTCATAAGATATCCCTAAACCCTAATGATCAACATTCACTGAGTGTATATACTGACAAGATGGGGAGTTTTAGTAGGAAGGGAAGGGGTTCTGAGCCTTGCAAGCTCACGTTGACACAGGCCCTCCAGGACTAAAAATGAGTTTCGTTGTAGACGGGACGTGTCCAAAAAAAATTGAGTCCTGCTAAATCCTAAGCCCTTATGAGGACAACCAGAGCCCAACAAGATTTAGTAGTACAGGAAACCTCCAAACCCAAAAGACATAATTCCCGAGCCGGAGACTCGAAGTCTTAATCCCCAAGCCCCAAACCTTTCATCCCATGGTAGCGGAGGAAAGATTAGCCCAGGGTCACTGCTGAAAAATACTTTGAACTTATGATTACATTGAAGCCAATACGAGTCACGATATTTTACTGTAAGCCCTCAACCCTGAGCCCTAATCTTGAACGCCAAACCCCAAGCCACAAACCTTAAACCCCAAACCCTAAGCCTTCAACCCTCAGCCCTAAGCCCCCAGCCCAAAACCTTAAACCCCAAGCCCTAAACCCAAAGCCCCAAAGCTTAAACCTTAAACCTGAACACCCAACCTTAAACCTAAACCCAAAAGGAGCCATCTGCCCTCAGGTTGAGCTGCTCTTTGAGGACATCCTTAGCAGGCGATCCGAGAGTTCAGGGTTCAAGGTGAAGGTAAACGGTGAAGGCCCATCATAGGGCTTAGGGTTTAGGTGACCGATTGAAGCCTTTGTCAGTTCTAGGGCGTAGGGTTAAGTGCTTTTTTGGGAGGTGGATTTGTAGAGACCCGTCACTGTTCGGATCCCCCGGCAATTTCCTACATAGATATGACATTCCCCAGGATCCCTCAGCCCTCAGGCCTGAGAGGACGGCTTTCTGCGAACCATCGTTTAGATAAAGCCACTTGATTCAAAGGCGCACTCAACAAAAGCGGTGCGAACCTTGTACTTGTTCAGTTTTGTGGATGGAGGCCCGCGTGATCATAACTTTGAGCAGTTTGGAGAATTCAATGCTTGCCGCGTCCTCTATCACGATCTATTCATGTTTCTGATCCGGTGACTTGGGGCCTAACTACTAGTGCTTCGCAGGGAGCTGGGGAAAATCCCAGGCAGTTTTCAGGCCCAAACCCCAAAACTAACCCGCAACCAATCGGCAAGCCCAAGCCCTAGTCTAAAAGACCTCCAAGGTCTTCCCAGCCAGGGTATCCTGATTTGAGCAGTATTTCATCTGGGGATACTATGGTAGCCCATATAGAGTAAGATTATACCCTCCTTTTGGGGTATAGTATTTTATATAAGGAATATTATCTTACTAGGTTCAACCACCCCAAAAAACACTACCCATTTGAGACACGCAATGAATTCTGGGCCCTGCAGTGGCCAATCAGGATCAAAGAAGACACCGACGGGTCCGCCGTTCAAAACATCTTTAACCACTCCTCGTCCCTGGGCCAGACATTGGAGGTATGTTTTTATATAGGGTTTTTATTGGGGTTATATAGGGACAATGGAAAAAATGGAAACAACTATACTATAGTTGTTTCGATTTTCCATTATCCCTTTATAACCCCAATGAAAATCCTATAGTATATTGGGGTTATATGGGTTTTTGGTTTGTAGTTTCTCAGAAGGAAGCCAGCAACTTTGGCTGCAAGGTTTGGCCGTAGTCGGTTGTTGAACATTTTCAGGGCTTGTGGTGGTTGAGTAGAAAGGGAACCCGAAGCCTTCGGCAGGTAGAAATGATGTATGTTTCCACGTCATAGCTTTGCACCTGTATGTATAGTCCCCCTTAAGAAGATAGAATATGGCTTCGGGTACATTATTTTAAGAGCCCCATGTACTCCATATTCTATCTACTTAAGGGGGACTGTAAAGCAGAACCCCACGTCTGACCCCTAGATGCAAAACCTCAAAGGTTCTCGGGATTCCATGAGTTAGGCTTGGATTCTGAGCTCTAATGGTACGACTCCGCAAGTCTAAGTCTGGAATTATACTCCCAAATTGTAGTGAGCCGCAGAATGTCCAAGATCTACGCCGAATCCATGGCCTCTGATGGTTGCCAGCCACACTTTTTTAAGCTGCATAGATGTCCAAAGACCCATGTTTTCTTTTTTTCGGAAATGTATTGAACTCTCATGCGCGCCACGAGATCTTGTCCAAGGGCTGAGGGTTTATCTCGTGCACCTTGATGAGTGGCACACCAAATACCAAGAAATCTGCTCTGACCTAGATGCAATCATTGCAATGCTATGAATCTCAGCGCATGCCAATGCACCTCACTCATGTGCTTCTGGTAAGAGTTAGTTCATCGCGATGCACAGTGCATCTGTTCCACTTTGATCACCCGTAGGCTTTGGTCCCCAGGCACCCAAAGAACCCCATTCCAGCTATTCACAACCGTGTCATACTTAAGGGGCTTTGTTATTCTATGGTTATAGGAGTGTGAGTACACTTCCTAAGTCCGACCTGACCCCTCGAAGTAGACCTTGATAGGCAGCCTAGGCCGGATCACGGGCCATTAATGGGACTCCTGTAGGTTTTTGGGGAGTAATGTGAGACTACTAGGTTATCTAGGGTGTATATGGGGATTCCCGAAATTCAGGGGTACCCTTTCGGAGGATCCCTATAATGAGGACTATAGTATTTGGGTCTATATTGGGGTCCCCCCTATTTTGAGAAACTATCACGTAAGCATTGCATATATTGCTTTTAAACGGTAATAGGATTACGGGTCCCTTCTAGGGGTCCCTCTAAGAGACAGGGGGCAGGAGTGCTGGGCGACTGAATGCACTGCAGTGTAGATATGGTAGTTTCCCTAAACAGGGAGACCCTAACAAAGACTCCAAGATGCTAGAATCCCTATTACCAAAAAGGTACCCTTTTTGTTTGGAAACCCCACATGTTTACCAGAAAGGCGACAAGCAGTCCAAAGGCTCCCTCAGCAGGAACTGGGGGAACACGTGCCTACACTCCAACATCTTGCTAAGCTCTTGGTGGGAAACGGGTCCTCATTTAAATATGTCATCTACCCTCAGGTACAAACATATCACAGCTGCGCGGCGGCCCTCCGGGAATCAGGACCGGACTGCAGCCCAGGCAGTATCACCTTTCATTTTGTAAGGGTTTGGGTTTAGGGGCTTGTAGATTGCATGGGGCATGGGGATCTTTGTGGCCCACCCCCCTGATATTGAACACTTCCCACGCGGAAAATGTTATGGAATGCTTCTCCTTGCGCAGTCCAACAATACCTTGCAGAGCGATTGTTTTGAAGGGTGTTGACAGGGCTTATGCTTCGTGGCTCATCAGTTTGCACCACCCATCTCTCTGGCTGTCCCTGCCACTTTAACAACTGTTTGGAGATCAGGGTTGGAACGTGCGGTGAGGGGTTGTGTAGGTCGGTATGGCGGCTGTCTTGGGCTTGAGATTGCTAGGAGTGGGGTGGTGCTGAGATTATCAGATCGTTTGGTGTTTTTCAAAATACCCTCCTAGAATCCTTTCCAGACACGACATAGTTCCTTCGCAGTGCCCCCCCAAGGGCTTCTTGAGAAATCCTGAAACCCTAGAATGTAAATCCGAACCCTAAATCCTAAGGGCTACACCCAAACCCTAAGCCCATGACCTGAATCCTAAACAGACATCCAGTCTCTTCCTTAGGGCATCTTGGTTGCAGGAGATGATTGAGGTGGCATGATAACTGTGCAAAAGACAACGAGGCTGCCGTATGGAGGAGGGTCCAGGTTCAGCGTT